AAGCCACCCCCAGGGGGGCCCCTGCCGTTCCTGCCCCGGGGGGGGGGGGCAGAAGCGCCACCCGGCCCCTTGGGCTGTCTCCTCCTCCTCCTCTCCCTCCGGAGGGGCTGCCGCGGCCAGAGTCCCTGACGGGGCTCCCTGTCGCCTCCTGCAGGAGATCTACGGCTACGACCTTTGCCGCTGGAAGCTGGCCTTAGTCGCTGGGGGGGCGCTCTGCACAGGGGGGCTCCTCCTCCTCCTCCTCTACTGGATGCCCGAGTGGCGGGTGAAGGCGACCTGCAGCAGGGCCCCCCTCCCGGGCTGCCAGGTGGTGCTCCTGAGGACCACGGTAAGCGCTGCTGCCCCCCCGCTCTCCGGCCCCCCCCGCCTCGCCTCCTCGCTGAGCCGTGGGGCAGTCTCTGGCTCCGGGAGGCCGGGGGTGTGTGTCCTCGTCTGCTCTTGCCCGAGGGAGGCCTGCTTGGTCCGTGGCCTCTTGGGCCGCTGTTCCCCTGGGCTGGGCGCAGCCGTTCCGGAAGAGTTTAGAAAGCCTCTTCCCTCCTCCCTGTTTCCCAAGGACGAATTCCACACCTGGTTTTGCGCCAAGGTCCGCATTGTGCTTTCCCTGGGATGCCGTCCGCTGCAGACGCCAGCCTCTGTGGCCGAGGCGGTGGCCAACGGCGTCACTGACCGTCTGTGTCCAGAGGCCTCTGATGAAGAGGACGGACGGAACCGAGGCTCCCGGGGTCACCTGCAGGAGGTAACCTCCCCCCCCCCTTTGCGGGATGGTTCTCCGGGTGGCCTCCGTCACGGGAGTGCAGCCGTGGGCTGTGTGGGTGCTCCCTTTGCTCTCTAAGCAGCCGGTGAGCAGCCCACCCCCCCATCTAGCTAGCCCACCCCCAGCCAGGGGGAGGGGTCGATCCCCAGAGAGGGCTGCCTTAGCAGGGCCCTGCTGGGACCGGCGGCACCAGTGCAGACCTTTGCCCGTGGCGGTGAGCTGGAGAGGGCCAGTTTGGTGCCATGGTTGAAGTGCGCGGACTCCCATCTGGGAGAACACGGAGCACGTGCGACACGACACAGCTAGAGCGAGCGAGCCAGGCAGGGCTGAGTCCTTGCTGAACATTAGAACCACATATCTCGGCAGCTTGGTGTAGTGGTTAAGAGCTGTCCTTGGAAAAAGAGCCGTTTCTGTCAAGAGCTCTCTCTCAGCCCCCCGCCTACCTCACAGGGGGTGTCTGTCTGTCATGGGGAGGGGAAGGGAAAGGAGTTTGTCAGCCCCTCTGAGACTCCTCCTTCGAGTAGTGAAGGGCCATGGGGCATCAATCCAATCTCCTCCTTCTTCTGGAGGCAGAGGCAGCCCTCAGCGCCCCCTTCCTCCGGGCCCCTGGGCCGCGCTCAGCTTCTCAGGCTGGAGTGCAGAGCAGGTCCAAGTGGGGCTGTGGAGCAGTGGGGCGGGGCACCCCCCCCCCCTGGTCTCCCGCTCTCCGCCTCCTGCCTTTCTGGAGCCCGGCTGCCTCCCCCGAGAGGGGCACCAGGGCCCGCCTGGCAAACTCCCCTCCCTCCTCTGCCTTCCAGATCCGGCATTTCACCCACCACAGCGTGAAGTACTTCTGGGACAAGGAGGCCCAGAACTTCGGCTCCATAAAGTAAGAGGTGCTGCGGTTTTCTGTCCCTGCTTGGGGCTCCCCCGGAGGTGTGAGGCGGGAGGGGGAGGGGGAGCTGCCTCTGCCGTGTCTTGGGGAGGGGGGAGGGGGGGACACGCTCCTCTCTCACCCGCTCACCCCTCCTTCTGCCTCAGGGGCCTGGACGAGTCCGTTCCCTGCGCCTCCGTCCATCGCGAGCACAGCGCAGGACTCACCAAGGGGATCCGCGACTACAGGTACCTGCCGCGAACCTGGTTCTGGTTAACAGACCACGGATGCACGGGGCTGGTTGCTCACCTGTGGGCTGGGGGCCGCCGTGGGAGTGTGTGTGTGTGTGTGTGTGTGTGTGTAGGCCGGGGGCTCGATGCTTTCCTGTCACAAGCAACTCTGTGCTGCTCGGTCTGAGTGCCAAGCCTAGAGACTGAGAGATGGGTCCTCCCAGGTGCTTTGCCGTTTCTAGCTTCTTCGGAACGGTCAGGACTGAAGGGCTGTTTCTGGCGCCTTGGGGCGTGGCGCCCACCTCAGCACCGTCCGCTTTTGCACAAATCTGTGCTTGTCAGGACGGCTTGAGGCAGCCGGGCCTTTATTGAGCCACTGACTTTTCAGAGTGCCTGGTGGGGGGCATCCAAGCCCACAGCTCCCGGCGCTCTCCCTTCCAGACCTGCGTTTCTCGCCGGGCAGCAGCGGGGGGGGGGCACTGAGTTGCAGGCACATGGCAAGAAGGGGTGGGACATCAGTCACATGACAGGAAGAGGGAGAGCCAAAGTGGTGCACCGGCAGATGGAGAGTGGAGTGACCTGCTGCAAGTTCTTGTGGGGCCCTCTCTGGTGGTGTGTGGGGCTGGGGGGGGGAGAGCGTCAGCTTCCCAGTACCTGTCCTGAATGATGCTGAGCTCCCCCCCGTCCTGCTGTTCTCCCCCCCCCCGAGCGGCTGGAGGCGTGGCCCCCCGCTCTTGGCACAGGGTCACTCACAGCGGGGCTTGACCGAGGGCTTTATTCGAGATCCCGCCTTTCTGGTTGAGACTCAGGGTGGGTTACAGAAGGCACAGAAGGATGTCTGTCTGTCTGTTGTGGGGAGGGGAAGGGAAGTCTGTAAGCCCCTCTGAGACGCCTTCGGGTAGTGAAAGGGCCATGGGGTATAGATCCAGTCTCCTCCTCCTCCTCTTCCTCTAAAACGAGGCCGTCACATAGCAGGAGTTATCCAGGAGACACTGCAAGGGAAGAACTGGGATTGCTGAAATCAGACACAATGCCAGAGAATTATCTGATGGCACACGGAGTGGAAAGTGCCATCAGGCCGTGGGGTCTTGGAGGCAGGAGAGGTCCGGAGGTGGCGTGCAGTTGCCTGCCTCTGTGTATGCGAAGTCTGGATTTCCCGGGTGGTCTTCTGGCCCTGCTCAGCTTCTGAGATCTGAGGGGATGAGGCTGGCCGGGGGTGCCCAGGCCCAGGCAAAGAGGCAGAGGTGGTTTGCCCTTGCCAGCCTCTGCATCCCACCCCCGGACTTCCTTAGGGGTCTCCCCTCTGAGGGCTGACCAGGGCCCCGGCCCTCTTTAGCTTCCTCTCGCTGCACTGTTGGGATAGACAGCAGTAGGGGAGAAGAGGCACAGAGCCTGCGGTCCTGTTCCTCCCGGACCATCCCGTTCTGTCGTACAGCCGGGTTCCCGTAAGAAGAGCACCCTCCTGAACAGTCTCTACGTGGTCCGTGGCACGCAGGAGCCTCCCTGGCCTCCGTAGGCAGGCCGTTCCTCAGTGGGAGACCCACAGCAGAGGGCACGCCGAGGCAGGTGGTGGTGGATCTTGCCTGCCGGCAAACCTTTCCCAAACGCAGCCCAAAAAAGCTGGTTCTACGAGGGAACTTCATCCTGAGCCGCCGGGTCGAAATCCACCGGCTTGGCCTGGGCAAGAGGATCATACCCTGCAGGAAACGGCAGGACCAGTTCCGCGGCTGTGCAGAACAGACATCCGTGCGGGGTCCAGAGAGGCGGGTGGGAGGAAGGCATTTTGGGCCCCCACGGTGTGCCGCATGATCAGGCCCGTGTCCCTCACAAAGGCCAGCAGCTCCGTCTTGAGCAGCCCTTGCCCAGGTAGCCCCTCTGCCCTTGTGCCAGCAGAGTCCCCCTCGGCCCCTGTGTGCTGCCCCCGGCATGCGTGGGCAATGTTGGGGACTCTGGTCTCTGCTGGACGCTGAGGGAACCTCGTCAGGGAATCTCCCTCCCTCCCAAACCCACCGCCTTGGGCTTTAAGGCTGTGTGGGTTCCTCCTTCGGCCCAGTGAGGCCCCTCCGTCTCTCCCACCAAGCCTGGCTGAGTTGTGCGGAGTCACGAGGCTGGCTTCGGCCACTTGGGGCTTCCCCGGTGCTGTTTTCCCCCTCACTCCCCCCCCACCGCTCTGCCACTCCGCATCTTAGTTGTGGCCCCCATGTGCCCCAGGGGGGCCCCCTTGCTCCTCCCACAAGCTGGTGCAGGGCATGCCCTCCCTCATGCGCGCCCCCCCCCTGCTTCTGACTCTTTCTTGCTGTTTTAGTGTAGAAAAGAAACTCTCTGCTTTGACAGGCAGAACTCCCAACCCTTTTTTTTAAACCACAGGGGGGGGGTGCCTGTCTGTTGTGGGGAGGGGAAGGGAAAGGCAGTTTCTGAGCCGCTCTGAGACTCCTTCGGGTAGTGAAGGGCCATGGGGTATGAATCCAATCTCCTCTTCGTCTTCTTCTCTTCTTATCATGTCTAATGCAGGAGATTATTCTACGGAGTCAATGAGATTGCTGTGAAAGTGCCTTCTGTTTTTAAACTCTTGATTAAGGAGGTAAGAGCCGACGGTGTTGACGTGGGGAGGGGCTGTGCCACACCCGTGCCCTTTTTTGAGCCCCCCTCTGCTCTGGGGGCCGGTGGCTCCCTTCCAGGCACGCAGTGCGTCATCTGCTTTTGAAAGGCGTTGGCCGTGTGAGGTCCCACAAGACTCCAGGTGCAGCCGAGAGAGTGAGCAGAGGGCACGGGATCCCTGTTCCGGATGGGCTTGCTCTCCCCCCTAAAGGAGCTGGTTTGCAGCTTGGGGTGTGTGTGTGCCACTGGACCTGGTCCTCCTGCTGGGTAAGCGGGCGGCAGCTGTGGCCCAGTGTGCCTTTCACCAACTCCGGCTGATGAGCCAGCTGCAGCCCTTCCTGGTTAGGAAAGATCTTTCCAATGCAGTGTGTGCTCTGGTAACATCTGCGTTAGATTACTGCAATGTGTTCTGCGTGGGGCTACCCTGGAAGACTGTCCAGAAGTTACCCTTGGTACAGAATGCTGCATCCGGAGCGTTGACTGGAGTGGGTCGCAGGGACCATATCAGTTTGGTGTAGTGGTTAAGTGCGTGGACTCTAATCTGGGGGAACCAGGTTTGATTCCCCTCTCCTCCACTTGCACCTGCTGGATGACCTTGGGCAAGCCGTAGCTCTGATAAGAGCTGTTCTTGAAAAAGAGCCGTTTCTGTCAGAGCTCTCTCAGCCCCACCTGCCTCACTGAGTGTCTGTTGTGGGGAGGGGAAGGGAAAGGAGTTTGTGAGCCGCTCTGAGACTCCCTTGGGTAGTGAAGTCCCGGGTATGAATCCAGTCTCTTCTTCTTCTTCAGTTTGGCGTAGTGGTTATGTGCGAGTACTATAATCTGGGAGAACCGGGTTTGATTCCCCACTCCTCCTCCACTCGCACCTGCCTGGATGCCCTTGGGCAAGCCATAGTTCTGACAAGAGCTGTTCTTGAAAAAAAAGAGCAGTATCTGTCAAGAGCTCTCTCAGCCCCGCCTCCCTCACAGGGTGTCTGTCTGTTGTGGGGAGGGGAAGGGAAAGGAGTTTGTGAGCTGCTCTGAGACTCCTTTGGGTAGTGAAGGGCAGCGGGGTATAGATCGAATCTCTTCATCTTTGTTCCATCTAGTCTGGCTTTCGAATTCTCTTCTGGGCGCAATTCAAGGTGCTGGTTATTGACTTTTAAAGTCCTTTACAGCCTGGGCTTCTGTGGGTGTCTTCCGCCAGCAGATGAAGGCTTTTTCATTTTGTTGAGCATAACCCCCAATAACAGTTCCTGGCCCCCCTCCAGTATTGTGTGTGACGTATCTTAATTTAATCATTCTATCCTTCTAAATGTTGCTTGTGATTGTTCAGATGTTCTGGTGTTTTTTATGTGCCGCCTCCTTGGGGACCCTGATCGGGTGAAAAGGCAGCCTAGAACCCGCACCGGGGGGAGGGCGGGGTATAAATCGAATAAAATAAATAAATAAATAAATAAATAAATAGCTTTTAAACGGAGGATTGCGGCCTAAGCAACCAGGGCTTGGTCAAGTTCTGCTTTGCCCCTTAGACACGGAATCCCAGAACAAAGGCCGTTTCCTCCCTCATATTGCTGCATGCAGAAATCCATGCCGGCGTGAAGAAGAGCGCTTGCAGTCTGACCCATAAATCAGCATTTGCACATTCAGCACAAATGCAAAT